GATGAATTATATGAATCATTATCACATTTATTCTTTTCAACTACTTCATGCATTCTTATTGTTGTTGATTTATCAGAACGAAAATATGAAAAACAAATTAATGAAATATTTGCCTTAATGCAAAAAATACAAAATTCTTGTTCTTCTTCTGGTTTAACTTCTTCCTCTGACTCTGACTTTAAGTACGGATTTCCTATGGTAGTTGTTGGTACAAAATCAGACTTAGTTTCTGAATGTGATTGCCAATCTTTCATTCAAAAAGTTAAAGATAATGGATTTATTAGTTTTACTTGTTCTACAAATGATATTGAGTCAATTAATAATATATTTAATGATTTACTCGAAACTGATTTTGTCCACCCCCAACAAGTAAAAAGAATTCCTTTAAAACCAAAGAAAAAAACTCGAAAAAAAACTAAGGCTCAATGTGTTGTGTTATAAGAATATGTAATTATTTATTATTTATACATTTTTGTTTCTTTCTATGTTTCATTTTGTATCTTCATGAATATCTCTTTCTTTTCTTATAAAACAATTTTTATAAAATTTTGTTATTTTCTCTTTCTTCTCCATTTCATTTCTCTTAAAACGATTTTTCTTATTAGAATAAGAACTCAAAAATATTCATAAAAACTTTAAATCTTTCTTGTTATTTTCATTTATTGATATGAGTCAATCTTTCCTTGATTCAAATAATCAAATATCAATATTAATTCCTTTCAATGACCCAGAGACAAAAGGGTGTTATAGTATAATTGACACTGGAGATGATATTATTTCGTCCTTTAAAAAATTAATCAAACATCCAATCTCATCTATCCTTGACTTTTTAACTTCAGGACTTCTTTGGAGTTTTCTTTATTTGATCATTTCTCTCTTTATCAATGCACTGTTTCAAGCAATAACAGATGACTACTACATTCGTTGGTTATCAAACCACCAAGAAATTCCAAAGTCATATACTCTTCCTGATATAGGAAGTGATCTTCTTCCCTTTATTGATATACCCTATCTGCCTTCTTATGTATTGGTTGGTGTCTTAGTAATCACTTTCTTAAGATTCTTCTTCACCCCATATCGTACAATTGTTCTTAAAAGATTTTGTTTTCTTCAAGGTACAATATTTATTCTTCGTTCCTTGAGTGTATTTGGAACATACCTTCCTTCTCCAGTTCCATGCACAACCTACAACAAACAACCTCTTTTCATTTATGCAATGAAAATATTTTCTGGAACTCGTTCATGCCATGACCTAATGTTTTGTCCTCATACCGCTGCACTATTCTTTTGTTCAATGTTTTGGTATCATTACATAGAAAAAGCTCCATTAATAAATTTTAAATGGTGTTATAAAGTTAGCCCTTCTGTTAATGAATATGGTTATCCACTTCGTTTTACAATAGAAAAGGGTGTTATTTGTATTATCACTGCTATTGCCTCATTACTATTTGTTATGTGTAAAAGACATTATACCTTTGATATCTACATTGCCGCTATTATTTCAGTACTTTTGTTTAAATTATATCATCACTATATTCTCCATATCAATACTAGAATGAATTGGTTCAATGCTTTCTTACGATGGTTCGAAGATGGATCTCCAGATATTCCTGAACTTGGACTGCAACAAGTAGATCATGATAATTAGAATTCATTTTATTCATTATAATGGTTCTTTTCTGATAGTAAAAAGAACTTAAAAAAGTATTTAGTTGTAGTGATATGCAAACAGATCAAGTTAAGACTGTTGTTATTTCATGTGATAATAATGAAGGCAAAACGATTTATAATGATATAATCAGATTACCTAAGACTCTTTATCAAGAGTATGAAAGTCTTTGTAAAAGAAAGAAAGAAACAATATTATTGTCTATTACAAACAATTTCACAGAAACGTTTTATTGGGGTAGTAGGAGGAGTATCTCAAGATGACACAGTTCAGATAGAGTGTGAAAGATTTGATGCAATAGAAGGAGGGAATCTAGTCTTTTCAGAATTAAAAGAAGTTAAAGAAATCAAGATTAGACCATTGGATCCATATTTTTATTGTTCAAAGAATTACAAAATAGTGATGAAAGGATTATTGCAGGGATTTCACTGTGTTTATAGTGGAATGGTTCTATCATATTATCTTCCAATACATTGTGGAATTAAAAAGATTTATATTGAGGTAGAGAGTGTTAATGGAAGTGAAGGATATGGATATTTAAAAGGAGAAGACTTTAAATTGAGTATTCAACATCCGTTTGAAGCAGAAGAGATAGTTAAAGCTATGAAAAAAGATCAAATAAAAAGTGAAGAATGGAAAGTATCAAACAAGATAAGTCAATGTGAGTATTGTAAAAATGATATTCGAGAAGAAAAGATGGATGAACACTTGTTTGAAGAATGTAAATATCGGGCAGTAGAATGTGAAGGATGTAGATTATATTATCCTATGTGTTACAAAGAAGAACATCAAAAAGAATGTTTGAAATATCAAAAAATAAAAGGAGAAAAAGAAAAGAAAGAAGAAAAGAAAAAAGAAGATAAAGATAAAAAAGAAAATGATAAAGAGATTGCAATATTAAGAAAGGAAATGGAAGAATTAAGAAAAATAAGAAATGGGGAGATAATAATAAATAAAGAAGTCATAATAAGTGAAGAGGTTCAAAAAACATTGGAAGGATTTAAAGAAAATAGTGACATAAAAGAAGAGAAATCAAGAATAGAAGAAAAAGAGTTTTCAGAAGATGAATATGAAGAATTACTTAAAGAGTTAGAGAAATATTAAAATAATTAGAAATGTAATTTGAGATAGGAATTTAAAGTTTTAAAGAAAAAATAGAAAAGATAAAAGAAAAAAGATTTCGGACGAAAAAGAAGAATTCGTATTAAAAGATGAAGAAAAAATAAAAAAAAGAAAGAAAAAACAAGAAATAATAAAAAATAATACAAAAAAATAGAAAGGAAGTTGAAAAAGAAGAAAAAGAAAATAAAAAAAAGTACGAAGAACCACGTTTTGAATAATATTTAAGGAAGAAAGAACTTAATAAAAGAACAAGAAGACAAAAGAAATATGAATACATTTAATAATTTCATATTCCAATCACCAACTATTCTTTGTTATGGAAAAGGGGCAAGTTCAGAAATCGAAAAGAAAGAACTCATTCCAAAAGGAGCAAGAGTAATGATGATTTATGGAGGAGGATCTATTAAGAAGAATGGAGTATATGAAGAAGTTAAGAAATATGTTAAACCAATTGTAGAATTTGGAGGAATTGAACCTAATCCAGCACATGAAACATGTATGAAAGCAGTTAAAATTGCAAAAGAAAATAATATTGATTTTCTTTTAGCAGTAGGAGGAGGATCAGTTATTGATGGAACTAAATATATTGCACTTGCAATGGAATGGACAGCAACAGAAGATCCATTTGATATGTTTACTCAAATGGAAAAAGCATCAGCACCAAAAAGTAAAATAGGAGTAGTATTAACTATTCCAGCAACAGGAACAGAAACAAATAATTTATTTGTTGTAACAATTATGGAAAGAAGATAAAGCACTTGGATGTAACGATTTAGTTAAACATATTTTGCATTGTTGATCCATGTCATTCATTTACACTT